ATAGAATAGAATAGAATAGAATAGAATAGAATAGAATAGAATAGAATTCTTTATTGGCCAAGTGTTATTGGACTCACAAGGAATTTGTCTTTGGTGCAAATGCTTTCAGTGTACATAAAAGAAAAGATACATTCGTCAAAAGTCAAGTCATAAGGAACAACACTTGATCATAGTCATAGAGTACAATAAGCAATCAAATCATACTAGGAAATAGTCAATATAAATTGTCAGGATACAAGTGACAAAGTCATACAGTCACAAGTGGGAGGGGATGGGTGATGAGTGATGAGAAGGTTAATAGTAATAGTAGTGCAGACTTTGTAAATAGTTGGACAGTGTTGAGGGAATTATTTGTTTAGCAGAATGCTGGCGTTCAGAAAAAAATTGTCCTTATGTCTAGTTGTTCTGGTGTGCAGTGCCCTATAGCGTCATTTTGAGGGTAGGAGTTGAAACAATTTATGTCCCAGATGTGTGGGGGTCTGTAAATATTTTCACAGTCCTCTTTTTGACTCGTGCAGTATACAGGTCCTCAATGAAAGACAGGTTGGTAGTAATTGTTTTTTGTGCAGTCTTAATTACTCTCTGAAGTCTGTGTCTCTCTTGTTGGGTTGCAAAACCAAACCAGACATTTATAGAGGTGCAGATGACAGACTCAATAATTCCTCTATAGAACTGTATCAGCAGCTCCTTTATTTATTTATATCCTACCTTTATTATTTTTACAAATAACTCACATTGCTGTGGCTTCTATCAGATACACTAGATGTGCTAGTAGTATCTGCTTTTTAAGATTGGAATCTGTATTCTATTGGCCCAAGAATTATTCAGATCCCTTTCACCTGCTGATTATAATATTTCAGTTTTCAAGATTAAAGGTTCTCTTAACAGCGAATAAATTAAAGTTCAAGGCTGAAATGCAAACAGTCACCATCCAGGCAGTTCTGGGGTGACTGGACCAGCACCTGCGAACAATTATTTGCTACTGTGGAAAGTTTGTGTTTTTGTCTTACAGATGCCAAGGAGGTAACACTGCAAATGGGTGAACAGCGACGGCCTGGAATTTAGACTGTCCTTTGGGGTGAGGTAGTAGGTTGTATAGTTTTAGGGTTAGACCCTGACTGTCAGATAACTATACAATCTACTGTCTTTCCTGAAGTGGCTGTAATAGCAACACAGAAGGCATCATCCCACCTTTCTAGAAACTGTGATTATTATTATTATTATTATTATTATTATTATTATTATTATTATTAT